GAAGTCACAGCTACAGATCTTATTCAATAATCCTCAGAGCAGTGCATAGGGTGGACTAGGAAATTACTTTGTGATATAGCCCATGCTGTGCATGTTAAGCTATTAGTCAATTCAGTTATAAAGACCACTGCCAATTTAAAGAAAAAAATAGACAAAGGGGACAGATTTAAGATATTATTACTTGGCTAAATATTTCAGTTGTGTGTACGTATGTGTATAAATGAAATTTGTAGAGTTATGTAGCCTGTATTTAGGGACTTATGGATGAAAATGACCAATTTTTATTGTATAAGCAATGTGTATATATATGTATATATATATATAAATTACATATGTAAGTTACATATATAACTTAATTGTATATATATCTATTAAATAATTTCACTTAATTCTCAGAATAGTCAGGTGAAATCAGTAGGGGGGTCCTTAATTTTACAGATGATGAAATTGAGGATTAAGAGATTTGGTAGTTTTTTTAAAGATCATGTATTAATTAGTGGTGGAGCTGGGGTTCACATGCCTTCCTCAGACAGTTGTGAAGATTCCAAAAAGTGCTTAGAAAGATAGTTGGCACATAGTAAGCCCTATAGTGATGTTACCTATTATTATTATTACGACACGGCTCGTTTGAAGGAGATTTGCTTTTATTTTCCTTTTTGTTTAGTGCACACATGATAAAGTGCAGCTACAGCCACCATGTTATTGGAGAACTTCCCACCCCCCCACACGCCCTCAGCAACTTCCATACTGAGTAAGCTTTAGATAAAGCCTCTGCTGTGCAGAAGTTATCGATTGCTTGGTATTTTCTGTGTCGCAGCATCCAGACATTCCCCTTGGCCTGTAGTTATACTGCATTTAACCATCTTGTGCTCATCTCACGTAGGTGACATATGCACCATCTCTGTTCAGAAGAAACAATAGAAAACAACTGAGTTAGAGGTATTCTGAAAGTTTAATTAAGGACTTGTCAAAATAACAATTCAGTTTGCCATTTTCACTCAAAAAGCTTTCATACTTCTTATTTGAATTAATGTTCAATTAAGTTAGGGAGATGAACTTAACGATGTAAAGGCAGAATCAGGAAAGAGAAAAGTCAAAAATAAAGAGATTAGACTACATTGCCTCTATCATTTTAAATTGAAACACTACTTTGGAATAAATTAAACAACAACATATAGTTTCTTTGTCCATGAATCAAGGCACAGGATAAGTCATTTTTTCACAAAATGTTTTTCATCTAAGGATTCAAAAGTCCCAGCTATTTCCAGTTAAAGCAGCATCTGTTGCTTTGCCAGTTCCCACAGAGATGAGCTCGTGTTGATTTTCATCACATTTGTTCAAGCCTGGAATCTGGTTAAAACATGCAAACAGTCACATTGCCAGTTAGGAGGTGCAATCATATAGTATCTTTTTACCTGCATTTATTTTGATTCAAATGGCATTTGTAATTATGAATCTAAGCATGGATTATTTTAAATAATTTGGCTTACAGTAAGTAGTATCATAAGATAAAGCGTTCTAGAAGGAAGAATACTGTAATATATTCATGTTCTTAGAAAACAATTATATTTACTTTAAATCTTCTCAATTGAAATCTGTATTCTATATTTTCAACACCATTTTGGGTGTTACTTTTTTGGGATAACTTGTAAAAAGAAGTAGTTTCTCAATTACATCTTATTTTAGTAGATTGTCTAAACTGCAGATTGACCATCATAGAGATCTTCCTGTTATCCAGTTAATAATGTTTCCATATCATTATCCATATGTTGATTGCATATTAACATTCTGAGGTGAAATCAGATTTTAAAACGATGATGTTGTTGAATTGGAAATGTCTGATAGTTGTGTACCTACTTTTAATGAAAGTGTAAAAGGAACAGTAGAAGAACAAACAAAGGTTAAAGTGCTGGCAAATGTTCTTCATTACCAAAGTATTATAGCGGACTGTAGTCACTCACCTTGCCGAGGCCTTTTTAATACACCCCAAGTTTCCATACTTAGTCTTCGCAGCTATTCTAGATAATTAGGTGGAAAATGTTGAGAAACCCTAAAAAGTGAGAAGATGAGTAATGTATCTTCTTCTGTAGTTTTGAAATATTTTGAATGTTTAGTTGACCATTTCAAAAGAAAATTGCTATGTGATACCTAGCAATTTTTAAGTTTAATATCCTATATTACTAATATGGGACAAATTACTAATATGTCAAAATTCTCCGCTTATATGAATGCATTATCACTAATTTCCAGGGAAAACAGGAAATGCAAATGATCACCCACAGAATGATAAAAAGAAAAGCAGTTATGATGGAGCATTGCCTGATACCAAACACTGTTTTGTACACTTCACTTATCTCAAACTCTCAACAGCTTTGTAAGAGGATATTGTTATCCTTACTATGTAGAAGAGTAAACTGAGGCTCAGAGAGCTTTAAGTGATTTTTACAAGCTGTTCAGTAGTGTAATAGGAAGCCTAATTTATATATTTTTCAATTATATAAAAATGTTGCCTCACCAGTATTAGTTTGCTATGAAAGGAAGTAAAGTCAATTTCATATAGTAGAATAAAATCCCTACCTTCCTTTTCAGTCAATTATCCACTGGCATTTTAGTAATAATGCTTACAGGTATTTTTACATGAACAAACATTTGAAATACCTGTTTCCATTGTAGATGTCATAGTACCTTAATTATCAATATCCTGTTTCCTCAAAGTAAAAATTTTACAAGATTTTATTTCCCCCATTTTTTTCCCTTCATTTAAGGTTCTCTAGTTCTTCTCTATGACTTCTGATAACTACATATGAAACAGCTCAGGGTAGGCATTGGGGATCAGCAACACAGTACATTATAATGATAAATAATGGGGACAGAATTTTTATTTTTAATTTCATAGTCCTTTCTTAATGTAAAGAAAAAAGTCGCTAAATATGGGCTAAGAATGTGATAGGAATCAAATTTTGTTTCAATATGTAATCTACTGTTGTTAGAAATAATTGAACAAAGTTCATAATCTTAATTTACTTCAGCTCTTAATATATACATGCATTTATAGTGATCCTTTTTCATAAATTTATATAAATTAATACCCTGAACTGGCAAGTATACATAAAGAATTCATGAGAGTGATTGCTCTTGGAGAGAAATTAAAGGGTACTTATTCAATTAAACAGTAAAGGGTACTTACTCATTTTATTGTTTCATATACTAATGGATAAAAACATCAATATTTGTTCTTTATTCCAGGTAGTTTGCTCAATATTTAAACATCTCAAAATAAAACCAAGTAAATATATTGGGAAATATACTTTTTATCTTCTCTAAATAAGTGATGTTCTATAATTTTTTCTCATGAAATATTGTCAGAAACTAGAAATCTGTTTGAAAATACAGAATGATACTGTGTGCATGTCTATAAAATGTACAAATCACTTTTTAGTCTAATTTTGTTATCTTCACATATAAATATTTCTGGGTGCTCCTCCTGATATGATAATGATTATGAAGACTAGTATTGGGTCACTGTCAGATTTCCACCATGACAGTGAGATTGATAAGTTGTTTAGAATCAGGTTCCCAACTAAAATAATAGAGACATCATGGCAAAGTAAAAACAACAACAAAAACAGAAGTTAGAATAATACCAACTTTTCTCTACAACTTCCTAGATCTGTGTGCCAGGAAGGGCGAGAGATTTAAACTCTCTGAGCATTATACTCTTTGTCTTTAAAATAGACATAAAAATATTTTCTTATCAAGATGATATTGATGATTAGAAATAATATGGAGAGAGAGCACCTAACATAGTGCCTGAGATGGGCATTTATTTTCTACATAAATTTCTTTAAAAGCTGTCTGGAAAAAGACAATATATATATCATAACAACTGATTCCCTGGTAATATAGAACTGATAATAATTATAAGGTAAGATTTTGGAATGATTCAGTGAAGGATTTAATTTATCTTCAGTATGGTTTTTGAATTATGCAGTTTATTTCTAATTCTAAGTATTGCATGTGTGATTGCTAGTCAGAGGAAAAAATACAGAATATCTCTTTATCCAAACTATACCAGGCTTAAACACAGTAGAAATTATTTATAAAGTGACAAAGGGAGAATAGAAATGAAAGAAGAAAGACTGTCATTACTTGTTTAAATTATACTTAACTATTGGAAAGATGCATTTTTTTTTTTTTTGGAAAGATGCATTTTTAAAATTCATCTATTATTTTACACTTTAATAACCTTTAATAGATGTCTGATAGTAAAGGTAGAGGACAGTAATGACTTTTGCAACTTATAGAAAATTGTACCTTTTGACTAATATAAAACTGAAATGTAATATATGGCTTTAATTTATTCATATATTTCCAGTCTTCACAAAGGAATATTCAGAGGCTGACTGATTTAAGCGTAACTTAGTCTTAACATATGATTAATGAGAACAGAATTGAGTTGATCAGAGTAGCATAAGGTAAATGATATCCAAGCAACATAATATATAAATGGCAGCATTTCACATCTTATATCCAGCATCCAGTTTCAGAAATTTGTATAGCAGGAATAGAACTTGCAACATCACAGTGGCCCAGATTACTGATTTTAGCATAGGATTTCTGAAACTTGAACAAAAGTTCATTCTGGCCCTAAAGGTCCAGAAGAAGGGAATCTCTACAATGACTTTACATTATACAACATAGAAATATTTTCAACTTTTATTCATTTAACAAATACTTGGGATGGTTATCTTTGCTTTCATTTATAAAAGCCAACTATTTTGGCTCGTTTTACATTTCTGTACATGTAATTTTATTTCATGATCACAGCAGTACTGTAAGACAGGTGTTGCTTTTTATATTTTACTCTACAGAAGAGGAAAGTGATACGCAGTTAAGTATCCTTCTTAAGTTAACAAGCAAAATGAATTCCTTAGTTCAAAATGCCTTAACATGTGCTTCTACTATGCGTAATTTATCAAGGACTTCCTTTTTGCTTTCAGGGATGACTTGTCAAGCTCGAACATCATACACTGAAGATGAAGTTCTTTGGGGCCACCGTTTTTTCCCTGTAATTTCCTTAGAAGAAGGATTCTTTAAAGTTGATTACTCCCAGTTCCATGCAACATTTGAAGTCCCCACGCCACCTTACAGTGTGAAAGAACAGGAGGAAATGCTTCTTATGTCGTCCCCTTTAATAGCACCAGCCATAACTAACAGCAAAGAAAGACATAATTCTGTGGAATGCTTAGATGGACTAGATGACATTAGTACCAAACTTCCATCTAAGCTGCAGAAAATTACTGGAAGAGAAGACTTTCCCAAAAAACTCTTGAGAATGAGTTCTACAACTTCTGAAAAAGCCTACAGCTTGGGCGATTTGCCCATGAAACTTCAACGAATAAGTTCAGTACCTGGCAACTCAGAAGAAAAACTGGTATCTAAAACCACCAAAATGTTGTCTGATCCCATGAGCCAGTCAGTGGCTGATTTGCCACCAAAGCTTCAAAAGATGGCCGGAGGAGCAGCCAGGATGGAAGGGAATCTTCCGGCAAAACTAAGAAAAATGAACTCTGATAGATTCACATAACCAAACACCCCTTCAGGCATTATTTACTGTTTGATTTGGTAATAGTCCAATATTTGGCTGATGAGGTAATCCTCTTTAAGGAATCTGAAAGGTACATTTTTTCCCCCAGTCATATATACATATTTGAGAACCTTCCTTTTCAAGTATTGCTAATGTGCAAAAGATAAAGTTGTAAAGGGAGGACATCAGAAGGAAGTTCTTATTAACGGGCATGTATTATCACATCAAGCATGCAATAATGTGCAAATTTTACATTTAGTTTTATGGCATGATTTATATATGGTATATTTATATTGTATATTATGGAAAATGTATATATATATATTTAAAGGGGTAGTACCCTGCACAACATTTCTAACATACGTATTAAGCCAAACATGAATTGATAGCTTTCAGGGTGATAAAACTATATATATATATATGTGTGTGTGTGTGTACACATAGTTTTATATATACACACACATATATGTACATATATACACATACACACACACGTACATACATATATCTGATAAAATTGTGATGTTTTGTTCAAAGTTGTAGTTCTTGTGCATGTTTACTTTATTAGGCTAGGAAGGCTTCTGGCATTAATTATTAATACCAAATATTTTAGCCTTAAATTATTTGTCATTTTAAAATCTGATTTAATGTTTTCTGCTGTTTAAGGTCCTGGAAGGTTTTCAGTTCTTTATACGAGGGAGTCACACAAGTCTGTGCTACTTATGGCCCTGCAAAAATATAACCATTATATGTTTAACTTGTAAATTTTGAAGCATACTAATACGCTGACAATTTCTTATGATTTTTAAAAGTTGCTAGTACTGGGAAAAAATAAGTATTGCCATTTTGAGAGTTGGTCCTTTCCTGGACTGATTAAAGTCTGGAAATCTCTTTTACATATGATCTAATACAAATATGAGCTCTGAACAAATGTTGAATCACTGTAATAGTCAGTAGCGAAGTTATATTGAATATATTGGAATCTGTGTGAAATTACATAATTAATGGTCCCTGTTTCAAACTGAGTCAATTGGTAACATTTTCACTCTTTTTCTCAAACTTTTGTCATTTTAAAAATCAGTAATTTATCTTTGAGGAGATAAAACAATACAATGAAACAGATGATAGGTATTTATGTGTAAAATCTGTATGTCTCATTGAGTCTCTTTTTATGCCATTCTCCTGTTTGTGGCACTTGTTATAGCAGGACAGACTCTTTTCCTCACCTGGGGAACCTATTTCATCCCTTGCCTGTCACTCAATTCCGAAGGAATGTTTTGTATATACCTGAGAGAATTTAAAATCAGATAACTTGAAGATATTTTACCCATGTGAGTTTTTTGTTTTGTTTTGTTTCGGTAAACACTCAATTTATTGGTGTCTTGGATCTCTGGCCCACCAAAATAATTTTAGCAGTACTATTTTTTGAACCCAAAGGTTTGATATTTATGACTCATTAGTAGGAATCAAAACTGTTCCTCAGAAGAACACATGAAAAATAAAGATTTGAAATGCAGAGATTTTAATGAAAATTTACAAGTGCTTCTTGTCAGAATATCATGGATTTTCCTATAAAGCTTTTTGGGGTATTGCAATCTAAGTCTGTCCAGAATTAATCTACTTCTCCTTATAAATTGTAAATCCTTAATAGCTGGTTTGGGCTCCCACCATTTCCCATTGTTTTTAGCAATCCTGTGATGATTTTCGTATTGGAAAATTATTACATCAACAATTCTATCATTGACTACAATAATACCTTCTGGCTACCTCTGTATCAACCAAATTCTGCAGGTGCAAACATATACCAGGGAATTGTTACTGGCAAAATGATCAACCTTGAGCATCTAACCACTGTGAATAGAGCTGGTTGCGCTAACCCTTACCCCCAAACTTTCTTATTTACTGGATATAGGAAATGAAATAGTAGCCGAGAGAGAAGGGGACCCAGGGGTCACAGTATATTTATTATCAGTGGAAGAGACTGCACAGATCATTTAGTCCAACCACTTAAAACTAAACAGAGCCATAATTTAATTTAGAGAGTCATTTTAATTTGTTTTTGGCACCAAGAGGATTATGAGACCAAAAATAAACTCTCCAAATATATTCATTCATTCATTCAACAAAATTTTTGCATGTCTTTAATGTTCTAGGCATTTCTAGCTCCTGTAGATTTGGATATGACTAAGTCAGAGGAGGTCACTGCCCATTCAAACACTGCATATCAGTAGGAGTGGGGGGAGGGGAGACAAAAACAAATGACACAATTTCAGAGTCAAAATATCAGTTAAGGGAAGGAAAACAGGGTAACGTGATGGAAAATGACTGGGTGAAATAAGAATTGATTATTTTAGAAGAGGTGACTGGCTTAGGGAGGGGGTGATCTTTGAACAAAGACCTGAATGATGAGAAAGAACCACTGTTGTCAAATTTTTCTTAGTGAATGCTATTCCTTTAACTTTCCCACATATGTATGGGAAAGGTATGATTTCTGCATGTAATTGCAGTTTAACCCCTATTGCTAAGTTGATCATAGGTCCCGGTTTACCCAGGAGAGTTCCAGTTTATACCTGTTGTACCTGTGTAATTATTACTAATACTCCCTTTCACTCTTATAATGTCCTGGTTTGGATGATATATGGTGACTCTACGTTTTTGTTGAAACTAAATTATGAAGTCTGATATATTTGGATAAAAATAAAGAATTGCTTTTTCTTCTCATTTTGCTGATTTTTTTGACACTGGTCATTCCAAGCAAAGTCATCTCAGTTTCATATATTTTAGCCTGTAGGACTTCTCATCAAAGTGATTTCCTGTAACATTTGTTCAATCTGTACATGACATGTTTTCCTAGCAGTGAAAAGTTATGCATTTTATTGACTGAATAAAAAATAAACCTCTGGTGTTTCCATTTCAGGAATTTGTAAGAGCTCACATCAAGGGGAGTAAAAGTCAACTTAAGTCAAGATAATTTTCAGCCCACCAGTGTGGTGACTGAAAAAAAAAAAAAAGCAAAATCTAATGTGTTCATTGAACTGAATAATTCAACTTAACTAGAAACTAGTCCCTTTTAATGGGATTTTCATGGTATAGCTCCTGTCATGGTAAAATATTTCATTCTGTTTATCAAAATGATGTAAATTAAAAAAACACAATTATTTTGATAATGCCTATTTTCAATTTAAATATCCTCATAAATATGTGAATATGCTTTTGTAAATATAAAACTAAAAATAAGGATATTTTATTATTGATTATTTCTGAAGAAATTCTTATGCTGTTTTAAATTCATCCATATATGGCATTAAATATTCTGAAAAATATTCAGTTGTCTCAGTACTCAAGAGCCACTTTGTGGAAATAGAATGGAACCATATGGATGATTTCTCTGGGAGGAAAAGTGAGATTCTGGGGAAGGTGGCTTACATTCTATTTGAATGAAAGTTTCTACCATTTCATACCATGAAGAGAGTTCAGTGTGACTGCACAGCACATCTGTGAGCTCTATTCCGAGTATGTGCTTGAGTTCTGTTGTACATATTCAGATTAGCATCAAACTAATTGCATTGTCCAGCATGCAGTTTATTATTATTTAAATGTACAAGGTCATTTAGGTTACAAAAGCAGAAACTTATGTAATCAATACTGCAAGTTCAGTTTTATAAAAACTGTATTAAACTTTCAGAATATGATTGGGTTAAATTTCTGTAGCGTGCTCATCATTTTTCTACTTCCCAAGAGTTAATTACTCACATTACTTGATTTGGTTTATCATAAGACTTTTAACTCCTAAAAATCAATGATTAAATGATTGAAAACTTATAATTAAATCATTATAAGTCATTCCTTGAGGGTTACTTTTATTTTGGCTCCTTACTGGTGAGATGCTTCGGCAATATGGAACCTGAATTTAATAATACAGATTATTTGAGACCTGCATTTCTCGGAGGAAGCTTCATGACCATCTTACCCTTTGCTGAACCTGAGTCTCAAAAGCCACAGTAAGTAAAGCAGACAAATACACTGTTTTCCTGATTTTGTTTAAATATCAAATCACCTTTTAGAAAAGCGCTCAGTTACTTTTTCTGACAGTGTTTCAAAGAAAAGTGTTTTCCTAATTTTAGATCAGATGAGTTCAATATGTCATATGTCCAACTCTCTGACACCTCACAGAATTAATCTGCAAAGCCAAGTTCCTGTAGCTTCTGACCTAGAGGAGTTCAAAAAGGATGATCCTCCTCATTCAGTAGAATTTTTTTCCAAATCATGCTTTTTTTTACCTGAAAAGTTTTCTTGAAATCATGGCTGTTTCTGAATATTCAGGCTGTGTAGGATCAATGAACAAAAGATATGGTAGGGCCCATTATCTCTTCTCATTGCTTACTAAGATCAGTATCCAATATAACTCTTGCTTATCCTTTCCCAGCTCCACGAGTCAATCACTTGCATGCTGATTTGCACATAGTATTTGGATCTTCACAACAGCTCTACATGGTAGAGATTATCCCCATTTTACACTTGAAGAAACTGATTCTCAGACAGGTTGTTTAGAGAATCCACAAACCTGAGTAGTCTCTGCGCTCTTTGGTGGTTCTACTGATATGCAATTGCTTCTTCTGGATTTTCCATTTGGGGGCATTTTCTGTTTACTTTACACTGTGGTAGATGAAGATCTGGTTCTATTTCTAAAACTTGCTGCCCACCATACCTCTACTACATACACCCTACCCTAAATTCCCAATATTGTTATATTGTTTTCATATTTTTAATTAGATTAATTATCAGTGTTTTAAGTTCTACTGCATTTGAGCCCATATGTTTTGATCATTTTACTCACCCTCACAGCCTTTTCCTCCCTAGAGTTGATAGTCATTTTTTCTTTGCTTATTTATACATGTACTTATCACTAATTTAGCCACAGTGTCCTTTCCGATTATAAACACTTTCCTGTTACTTCTTCAAACACATAAAATATTGAAACAGTTTTCTCTTCTTGACGAAATCCCTACCAAAGCATCCTGATCTGCTCAATTTTGTAAATTTCTCTCAATTTATAGCTGTTGTCTTGGGATCTCCTTTTATCATCATCTTGGGGATTCCATTCACCTCTTTCTAGGTATAGAAACCCTGTTTCATGGTAAATATGCAGTTTTCTTGGTTTACTCCTTGGTTTTCCTTTTTCTTGTTTTTTTGGCCATGCTGCACGGCATGTGGGATGTTAGTTCACTACCAGGGATCGAACCCGTGCCCTCTACAGTGGTAGCGTGGAGTCTTAACCATTGGACCACCAGGGAAGTCCCTAATCCTTGGTTTTGATAAAGCACATTTTCCAGGAGTTTCTCAGGGGGAAAAAAAAACCTGGTAGTAAACTTTTTGAAACCTTGATTTCTTTAAATAAATGAATTCTTCCCTAATAATTAATATTAAGAGTCTGGACTAGTGTAGAAATGGCGTTCCTTCTGAATTTCAGCAACATTGTTCCTTTTTCTCCTAGTTTCCAGTGTTGCTATTGAGATGTCTGATGCTATTAAGTTTTAATCCCTTGTGTGAAACTGATTTCTCCCCTTAAAACTTATAGGATATTCTAATCTTCCCTGGTGTTCTAAAATTTCAAAATTTCTGCCTAAGTGTGCATCCATTTTAATCTTTTGCCATGTGCTTTCAATCTGGAAACTCATGCCCATCAGGAAAATTTTCTTAAGTTTATTTTCCTTTATTTACTCCCTTCCATCTTTCTCTGTCCTTCTTTCTGGAATTTTCATTATTTGGATGTCAGAACTCTTGGAATGATTTTCTAATATTCTCATTTCCTCTTTTATTTATCTCTTTGTATCTTTTCTCTATTTTCTTGGAGATTTTCTTAATTTTATCATCTATGACTTTTATATCCATCTATTTGATTTCACTTATCTTCCAAGATGTTCATTTCTCACAGAGTAGTCTTAATTTTCAAGAACTTTTTGTTGTTCTCTAAAGGTTTCCTTTTTTAAAGGGTCTTTTTCTTGTATCATAAGTGAAGGATTTTAGCTCTCTCAAATTTTTGATAGTGTGTTTTAAATGTTTCTTCTACCTTCATTCTGTTTCTAATATCTTTTATACATATGATTTTGAATTTATTTTCTATGGAGGCAACTAAAAAGATTAT